AATGGTATAGAAAAATTCTAAATGAATAATGCGAATGTCTAATGTAATTACTTTCTTTTTTGGCGGGGGAGGATAATTTCACATTTAATGATTTAAAAAAAGGATATTTTTTCTTTAAGTACAATAAAATAATGTGTACAAATTAAAATCCGAGTTTATTCACACATTAAAAATAACTAATAAAACGATATTACCGGAAGATTTTCGTTGACTTGACACCTTATTAAGCATATTTCGTCTTGAAACGATGTTATATTTTTGATAAGATTTATCTACATGCTGAAATTGTTCAACACATATTTTACAAATATTAAAATTCCTAAAACTTAAAAAATACTAGAAGATCGTACAGCCTTCATATAGGAAAAAAACGACGTTTTTTACTTTCATATTTAACCCAATAGTCGACAGCTCCAGCTGAATTGTTAAAAGGCATTTGTCTCTGCAGTTGTTGAAGTCAAAAACTCGTAGGAGAAATCCATTATATAACTTTGCGTATCATATGTTAATGCTTGAAGCACAAAGAAATTGATCGCCAGACATGTGTTTCAATCATCTTGCGTTGCAGAACAAGCTACAATTTTAGAATGTTTTCTATGAGTTTTCTGCCGGTATATATATGAATGATAAATAATGTACATCAATATAAATAATGTTATATTAATAATATATAATATAAATAATGTTATAATAAAAACATACAATATAAATAATGTAAATTATGTCATAATAATAACATAAAATACAAATAATATAAATAACGTTATAATAATTACATACAATATAAATAATGTAAATAATGTTATAACATATAAAGTAATGTGTATAATGTTATAATAACATATAATATAGATGATATAAATAATATTATATTAATATATAATATAAATAATGTAAACTATGTTATAATAAAAGCATATAGTTTTAAAATAATAACGTATTACATAAATATTGTAAATTATGTTATAATAATAACATAATACAAATAATGTGAACAATGCCATAATAATAACATATAATATAAATAATAATGTATATAATGTTATAATAATAACATATAGATAATGCGTATAACATATAATATAAATTATGCAAATACTGTCATAATAATATAAATAATTTAAATAATGCAATATAATAATAACATATATAAATAATGTAAATAATTTTATAATTATAACATATAATACAAATAATGTAAATAATGTGATAATGCAAATAATAATAATTAATGTAAATTAATCTGTAAATTAATGTAAATATTTTACATACGAATGATGTAAATAGATGTTCAAAAATGTTTCTATATATATAATTTTAATTTTCCTCTGAATTTACGTATTTATTATTTACCTACATGATTTCATAAACAGTATGTTGGAAAAGATATGATAATTATGTAAACTTTGGTATATCAGCAAACATGACATGCTTTTTGCTTTTGTCTTTTGAGACGTTAATATATTTTAATTTGATCAATCTGTTTTTCTCATATATGTTATTATGAATGAATATTATACGTTAAAAATAGTACGAAAAATCGTACGGACGCGTCATATCACAAATGTCGAACACACCTAATAGACGATATAAAGGTTCGAAAGAGAACTCCGCTTATCTCCTTCGGGGATGGAGCTCATACAAGCCTTTGATTAACATTGTGTTGTTTTTGTCTTCTAAGCTTATGTCTAACACCTCCGATTTAGGTAGTGAAAAATATAAACAGATGAAACAAAATTCACCAGAAAGACATAATAACAAAATACTTGCCACAAAAGATATCTCATATAAGCTAAAATTAATGGCCGCTTGACGATGGCCAGGGCGTACTTGGCCGAAACGTTGTTACTAACAGTATCAATAACAATCAAGGTGAAAAATAGTTGGAATTAATTGAAGTACATTGCCTCTGTGTTTTTTTTATGTTTTTTTAAACATTTCACCCCAATCAAAGCAAGATAGCCACTGTGACTCAGAGGTTTATTGGGTTATAATTTAAGGAAAACATTATTAAGGAGTGAGAACAATAAAATAACAGAATTTAAGAGTACAGAAGATGGTGATTTTCATTTTATATACACTTTTGAAGCTCAAACTTGAATGGAAAGCAAGAAGCCGGTAGAAAGTTCCACAAGCGACAATTTACGGTTACGTCTAGCTATTTCGGCTGCAAAATGTTCACGACATTCTTGTAATGCACATAAATTCATATGGTCCAAGTACCAAAGAGGAGTGAATGAGAGAGAGAGAGAGAGAGAGAGAGAAGGAGAGAGAGAGAACTCATCAGAATATTTGCAATAAAAGTATTTTATAGAAAAGGCACAAGAAAACTACATTGTCACTTTGAGAAATTTACTGATATTGAGATGCCAGGTCAGGGAGTTACATTAACATTGCGGATTTTTCTTTAAATTTTATCAAGATCCTTACTTTAAACATAGAGGTAAATCTACAAAAAATGGCTCATTGAAAACGATGTCAATACACTCGAATGGTCATCACAATCTCTAGACTTGAATCCTATAGAGAATTTGTTAAAAGCATCCTGGACCTAAATAGAATATGAAAAGAAATGGAAGTTATTGATTAAAAGCTACGGAAAGAGACTGATAGCTATTTAATTAAATAAAGGATATGTTACAAAGTATTAAAAAGGTATTATACTAGTGTACGAATAGGGTAAGAAACTATACATTGAGGATTCTTCTTTGAATTTTATCAAGGATGTATATATATATAAATCATATGTAACAGCAATATTCTAAGAATGGACCAATGGTGGACTAGTAGATATGTAAATTACATTCTGGAAAGAAAAAAATATCTAAGACGACCCACATTCCTATCAGCAAACATAGCAATGGATTCGATATAGTCTTTCGACTGCATGTCAGTGGAAATCTTTAGGCGAAGAAAGCGAAATGAGTCACTCTCCTTAAGGCTGGCACCATATATACTAATGAAAAGCAGAATCGGTTCTCTCGGATGATTAATAGAGAACAGTTTTGTTTTAGGGCCTTAAAATTAACAGTCTTGTACCAGTTAACAATAGGATATAAATGATTTATGCGATCAGGTACTGATGTGACGTTATCGAACAGATCAACACTTGCTATTAATACAGGTATAAATAGATGTGTCCTAGGGAGGTGAGTACTGATGATAATTAGAAATAATGTACGTCCATGGATAGTAACCTGGGTACGACTGAATTAATACAAAAAAATGTAGAAGACAACTTCCATTTTTAAATACGTTAAGAAAGATTTAGTTAAAAAAATATCTGGAAGTATAACCTATCAAAGTCTGAAGAATTAAAATATTCCAAAGCCTTCAAAAAGAAAGCAATATGCCGAGCGTCCCAATTTTATTAAACATTTCTTTTTGTCATTTTAATATGATAATCATTTCACATACCATCCTTAACAATCCAATAAATTTTCTAAACTAATTCCATTTGAGATTTGACCCATAAGTCCGTAACCTATCATGTCGATCAAAGCTGAAATGTATCTGAAATTTTCACAGTATAATGTTAAATCAATGTGTTATTTTATATTCACCTTTGTTCTAAGTGCTTTGACACATTCGTATATTATTTTGAATGACAAATATAGGTGGTATAAAAGAAAAAGGTTTTTTTTCTCAGAATTAGCCAAATAATATATTGATTTAAAAGCTTAGAAATGAATACGAAATATAAGATCAGAATTTCTTTTCGCAATAACAGGCCAATCGTTTATTCATGAAAGTGTCTAAACATTCGGATAAATATTTTTTAACAAGATAAAAGTGTCAAAACCTCGGATATTTTGAAGAAAGACACGAGTATCGGCTTTTTTTATATGATTGCCATAAAATTTGAATCCAATAAGTGCTTTGAAGAAATTTATAGAAGGAAAATGTAGAAATGAAACACTAAATAAAAGAACTTCGATATCGGTTTCTATTTCCAAAAGTATATATATATATATATATATATATATATATATATATATACACACACACACATATAAATATATATATATATATATATATATATATATATATATATATATATAGAGAGAGAGAGAGAAAGAGAGAGAGAGTGAGTGAGAGAAATTAAATTATTTCTTAAGTTGAACGTATTTTGTCTCTTAATCTTTTATTCATATAAATTCAAAGCATTATTATTCAGCCATAAAAGTATTTTGCTTGCTTTTTACGATCGAAGGGGAACTTTCAAAGAAGTTGTTTATGTCGTCATAAAAGATGCCGATTTTGCTGAGATGAATTCTTTGTAGAATGTTTTTTTTCCGATTTTCGAATTCCTGAAAGAACTGACATGACAAAGAGAATCGGATAAGGCCTAAAGATAAATGAAGTTAAACTCTAGTAATTTGGGAATACGCTGCCCGTAGAAGAATTTATTATCCCTTGCCAACGAACGCTTATTGCGTGTGAACGGGCGGCATTACGAAAGACAGTCTAATTCTTTTCCTACAATGGCTATTCTTTTTTAATCTATCATTTAAACGAGTTAAATCTGACATGTTTGCTTTTATTATAACTTCATTAGAGAATAAGATATGCAAAGAAATATTTTTAATTATTGTTTTGTTTGATTTTCAGAGGTTAAACAAATCTCACGTGCATTTAACTAGTCAAAAATGTCTATATGCATTATTTGTGTGTGTAAGTGTATCATAATTCTAGTTTGTCTGTTTATCATTCGGATGATAATGTATATTTACATGTGCGTGTGCATGTGTGTCTGTAGTAGGCTTTAATTATGTTTGAAGGTTGCCCATGTTTTGATTTGGGGACATATTTTTCTCTCAACACCGATCGTGGTAGTTAAATATATGTTAGATCTTTTAAGAATGGATTAAATAAAGGCGCGTGTCGTAATATAATTATTTTCACGAGGGCTTACAGTTAATAAAATGTTATCCGGGCTCCCTCGAAGTATTTTATCTCAAAAAATTAAGTTCTTTTTTTTTTTTTAATTAGGGTATCACATGTAGAGAGGGTTAGATTGAGTGAGAGAGAGAGACAGAGGCAGAAAGACAGATATGGAAGCAGTGTGAGAGAGAGAGATAGACAGAAAAACAGATATGGAAGCAGTGAGAGAGAGAGAGAGAGGAGGCAGAAAGACAGATATGGAAGCAGTGAGAGAGAGGCAGAAAGACAGATATGAAAGGGGAGAGAGAGAGAGGCAGAAAGACAGATATGGAAGCAGTGAGAAAGGGAGAGAGAGGCAGAAAGACAGATATGGAAGCAGTGTGAGAGAGAGAGAGAGGCAGAAAGACAGATATGGAAGCAGTGAAAGAGGGAGAGAGAGGCAGAAAGACAGATATGGAAGCAGTGTGAGAGAGAGAGAGAGAGAGAGGCAGAAAAACCGATATGGAAGCAGAGAGAGAGAGAGAGAGAGGCAGAAAGACAGATATAAAAGCAGTGAGAGAGAGAGAGAGATGCAGAAAGACAGATATGGAAACAGTGAGAGAGAGAGAGGCAGAAAGACAGATATGGAAGCAGTGAGAGAGAGAGAGAAAGAGAGAGAGCCAGAAAGACAGATATGGAAGCAGTGAGAGAGAGAGAGAGAGAGAGAGGGGAGAGGCAGAAAGACAGATACAGAAGCAGTGAGAGAGAGAGAGAGAGAGAATGGCAGAAAGACAGATATGGAAGCAGTAAGAGAGAGAGAGAGAGAGAGATAGTGTCGATTCCCATGTTCAGACTGTATGTATATCAAAAAAACAGCAATAGAACTCTTAAAATTAGACTTATGTGTGCGTATGTATGTGCATATATATATATATATATATATATATATATATATATATATATATATATATTTGTGTGTGTGTGTGTGCAGGCGACCCGTGTTCGAATCTCACCACAGTGGACTTGTCAGGAAGTTTCGCTTTTATTATAACTTCATTAGAGAATAAGTTATGTAAAGAAATATTTTTAGCTTTTGGCTGAAGAGACTGTCATAGACAAATACATAGATAGATAGATATGAATCGACTGGCGTATATATATATATATATATCGAGAGGCCAGTTATTATTATATCCAAGTGCGATGAGAACGAATAGTGGACACTTCCAAGGGCGTAACATTTAATTTAAAAGAAGGATCAATACATAGTAGACTAATATGATATGTTTTATGAAATTACATCGCAAACTTGTCAAAATCGTTACACAATTGCAGTCGGGGTTTCAATGCATAGTAATCCGTGTTCTCAGACGGCTGTAAATTACTGGCCAGTGAAACGATAAATTTGATTTCAAAAGCAAAATACATCCTATTTTTTAAAAAAAAGAATTATAAGTCTTCAGAGCTTTACCGTGATGAACCAATTGAATATGACGTACGTTAAATTTAAACTAAGCGCAAACGAAAAACATTAGAAATTATTATCTTAGAAATGTGTCATGACCAAAAGTTGGCATCTAACAGCAGTCAGGCATTAACTTAAAGACTAATACAGATGGTTACATAAAATTTACACATGCATGACAATCAACTTTCGTAAGAAATAAAAGCGGGTTGGGTACAGAGGTAATTTAACCGAATGCCAAACTAGTGATATGCTTTGTGGATTTCTTGCATATTTTTTGTAGTTTTTATATAAGATGCGTCTTTAAGAAACTAGTTAATAATCTAAATCTATAGAATTTTTGGTAAATCATATGCAACTAAATACCAATATATCCGTATAAGATGTTAATAATGCTACCAGGATATCAATATAAAACTATAGTAATTCCAATTTAATCATACAAATAGAAATATAAGCCATATATGGTGCAAAACAGTTCAACTAACATCTGTGAAAAAATATTGTCAAATTCCAAAGTTTAATTGAATTGTAAGGTAGAAGGTAGACTGTGTTTACAATTTACCGTTAATTCTGTTCTTTGATTTAATAAAGAATTCTTATCAAATAACCTGATAATTTCCATTTTTTCATATAAACACAGAAAACAGGGTTCATATAAGGATCTACATGCCCTTGCCATTTTTAAAATTTTCCATTTTACCATAAGAGTTTTATTCTCATTTTTAAACTCCAAAAACATTTATTGTATTGTTTCTGTAAGATTCTTGGTGAAGGACAAGATATGCTGATGACACATAGGCTTAAAAGATTTCTTAGTAAAACAAATATCGAATTTTTCAACCCTCGGATTCTCTATTGTAGAGATAGTACTTAGCTAAACAAGAAATTTTATGTCCCAAAATACAAACACTGTTGTTCTGAAAGACACATGGCCCAGTGGATAAAATTGTTGGTTGGATCCAGGGACTTGGTCAAAAGAAATGTGATTTCAATACTTGACTACTGCAGTGGTGAACAAAACTTGAAGTGTTGAGTTAATAAAAAGATAACTGAGGTATGGCACGTGGAACTAGACCAATCTACCCAGGTAGCCGAACTAAAGGATCCAGTCGTGAAGATGAGGACCAACAGTCATAATAATATATATATATATATATATATATATATATATATATATATATATATATATAGAGAGAGAGAGAGAGAGAGATAGATAGATAGATAGATAGATAGATAATATTAGTGGAAAATATACATACATATGCAAAATATATATAAAAATATATATAAAATACCCATACATGTATATTTTCAGAAAAAAAATTTTCTAAGAGGAAGAATCCAGGTAGAACTCAATGTCTAGGACAGTTAACCATAACCAAGTCGGAATTTATAGAGATGACGGCTTAATCATTGTCCCAAATAGCAATGGTCCCTTGACTTCCAGCTTACATGAGAAGATTATTAGGGCCTTCAAATACTTAGACCTTAAAATTGAAATATCTTCCAACCTGAAAATAGTCAACTTTTTGGATATTACACTCAATCTATCGGATAATACCTTTAAACCCTTCCATAAAGTTGATCAAACACCCCTATACATCAACGTCCACTCTAACCACCCTAAACATGTGATAGATCACATCCCCAAAACTGTGAATACGAAAATAAATAGGCTATCTTCTAGCCAAAAAATATTTAATGATAATAAATTTATATACAATCAGGCCCTCAAAAATAGTGGTTTTAGACAAGAATTAAGCTTTAATGGAGAACTTGTAAATCAGAATAAGAGCAAAACTAAGAACAGGAAAAGGAAGGTAATATGGTTCAACCCACAATATGGCAGACTCTCTAACATTGATATAGGAAGTTTCTTCCTGAAATTAATTGATAAACATTTCCACAGTAAGCATACACTACGTAAAATTTTCAATAGGAAAACTCTAAAAATTAGTTACTCATGCGTTAGAAATATAGAGAAAATCATATCTTCCCATAATTGCAGAATACTTAGAAACTACCACAGTAATGGAACTCAATCTAGTAACCCTACCTGCAATTGTAGGAATAAAGACCATTGTCCAATCGGGGGTAAATGCAAATCTGAAAATGTAGTATACGAGGCAACTATCTTTCCCGAGGGAAATATAAACGAGAAAAAAAGATACATAGGTATATCCGCCGATGATTGGAAGCAGCGTCTATACAACCATAGACGCTCATTTAGATATAGATGCCTCAGTAGACAGACTTCCTTATCCAAACACTACTGGGAACTGGTGGATAAGGGATTAAACCCAATTTTGAAATGGAGATTCCTATCTAGAGCCAGAACACCTAATAACTTCCGCGATCGGTGTGATCTATGCATGGCGGAAAAAAATCTTCATTATCAAAGATAAGAATCGAGATGAGCTGCTGAATCTTCGGAATGAGATATTCTCTAAATGTAGACATAAGAAACGTTTCAAAACTTGAACACCGTTTTGTAACATGTTGCCACATATGTCAGCTCCATCTTAGTCCTATAACATCGGGCATGACATTTTAATTGTATGACTATTGTTTATCTCTAAATGTATCATTGTGCACGTTTATGTGATGCGCTATCTATTTATATATGTATATATGTTCGTGAATGTGTATGCATGTATGTATATGTATATGTATATGTATGTATATGTATGTATATGTATGTGTATGTATATGCATATATATATATGATTTTTTTTTACACGCGCAAATATTTGAATCGTCACTTATTTAGATTTTAACTTTTTATATATATGTACATATATGTATCTGTATGTGTATTTATGTGTATGTATGTGTATATGTATGTATGTGTATATGTATGTATGTGTATATATGTGTGTATATATGTGCATGTATGTGTGTATATTTGTATGCATGTGTATGTACGTGTATATGTGGATATATGTGTATATGTGTGTATGTATGTAAGTGTGTACATATGTACGTATGGAGGTGTTTATGTATGTATGTGTATATGTATAAGTGTGTATGTGTACATATGTATATACATGTGTGTGCGTGTGGATGTGTGTGTATGTATATATACATGTGTAAGGGTGTGGATGTATTTGCATGTGTATATATATATATATATGTGTATTTGTGTGTATATGTATATGTATGTGTGTATGTGTGTGTACGTGTATGTATGGGTATATGTATATATATATATATATATATATATATATATGTGTATATATATGTATATGTATGTGTATGTGCATATGTATGTGTATGTGTATGCATATGTATGTATGTATGAATATATGCATGGGGTCATGTGTATGCGTGTATATGTATGTGAAAAGTGTGTGTATATGAATATAGATGAATATGTGTATGTGTGGATATGTGAATATATTTTTATATTTTTAGGTTATTTATATATATATATATATATATATGTGTGTGTGTGTATATATATGTGTGTGTACATGTATGTGTGTGTGTGTGTGAGTACATGCCTAAAAGTATGTACCTAATTGTATATGTTTTTGTGTGTATTAGTATGTGTTTTTGAACATAGAAATATTTGGTCCTTGCTAGATTAGACAATCGTTATATTCATCTTCATATATTTATATTTGATTTCTAACCTGTAGTCGATATTAATTTGTCAAATTTTCTCAATTACAAAGCGGCCCTTTAAGTAAACACAATTTTATTTTCCTTCGTCCCATCTCTCTCCCCCACCTCTTCTCTTTCTTCCCCCCCTCCTATCCTAATTGTCTATGTATGGTGTCTCCTCATACTTACACTTTCTCTAAATTCTGTTTTGATTTCCGGAGTTGTTTTTTCTGTTTTCATTTTGAATGTGTAGGTCTGATGATTTGGATCGTATTTACGATTCCAATGGAATAAATTATGACCATGGAATATTAGTGTTTAAACCTTTTTTTTATATATATATATATATATATATATATATATATATATATATATATATATATATATAATTTTATTTGTTAATTTATGGTAAATGTTTTAAATTTATACCGATAAAAGTTCAGAAATTGGTCTTTAGATTGTTATCTTCAGAGGAATTTAAACCGGTATAAAAATGAACTTTTGTTTATATTTCCTTATTTCGAACTGATACCGGTTTTAAATTAAACATCTAATTCAATGTAAAAACAACATTATGAAGTTTAACTCGCAAAGCAAAAGTCGGATATAATCTGGAACAATTAATATTTTTTTTTTATTTAAGAATTCTTATAATTTTCAGCTCCGAATATAAAACTCAAGAAGGAAAAAAATAATTGTAATAAAATTCTAAATCCCCCACATACTCATACATATTTTATATACAATGCTAAGAGGAAAGCGTATAAAATCC